TAATATTTTAAATGTGTATGGAAATTGGATTGAATATAAACGACATAAATGAAGGAACATAAACAAATGAATTATCGAACGTTCACGAACGTAAATGAACAAACGAGCTCTTCATTCATGTTTGTTCATTTAATTAAACGAACATAAAATCTTGTTCATATTCGTTCTTAAATAAATACAAAGTATGTCGCAGAACGATGATTTTAATTGCGAGTAGAAATGAATGAAAAATCTTAAGTTTGATGAAGAATATAATAAGATGAATAGAAGAAGAAGAAGGGAATTAACACGTAAAAAATAGTAAAAAAATTATTTTAATTTTCATATCATTAAAAAATATTACATCATCAAACTGTTAAAAAAATTAATGTTTCAGTGAACAAAAAATAATAATTTAAAAAGTTTAATGCTATAATTGAAACTTTTTTATAAACCGGTGGACAAAACGAGACATTACCTAAAGTTCAATAGCAAATGGTGTAATTTGTTCTATTAATTAATTAATGCTACTTATTATTGATGCGTTGAATTCAATTATATAGTTTAGTTTAATAAAAACTTCTTCGTATATGATGATCCGACTTTCTTTGGTGGTTAAAAGAATTGTTGTTGTTCTTGAAGAATATGGGTTCAACCAGTACCGACTATAACAGGGTGATTTAGCGTTCATTGTCAAATGGTTGAGAGTATTTAAACCATATACTATTTTGTAATCATTTTAACTTAATAAAAAAACTCCATCATACATATAATATTATATTTATTCTATTAATAACAAATTTTTATATATTGTTAAATTAATATTATTTATTAAGGTAAAGTATACAAATGGTCTCTTGACTATATGATAATGCTTTATTAAGTCCATCGGCTATTAAAAGTTACAAATTGGTCATCCGACTATTCATTTGTTACAAACTCGTCTATTTCCGCTAAAAAAATAACAGTTTTCCAAGCTAAACGTTAACACGATGATTGAGATATGATGGATATGATAGTCGTTTAAGATTCTGAGATCAAATTTTATCACATCACAATTAGCAAGTCAATGTTCAACTAAGAATACCGTCAAATTTTAACAGAAAAATATGAGTTTGGAACATAATAAATGGTCAGTTAACCATTTTGTAACTTTTAATAGTCGAAGAACTCAACAAAACAACGCTCTATAATCGGATGACCATTTTATAACTTTTAATATCCGAGAGACTTAATAAAACAATACTCTATAGTTGGAGGATTATTTGTATACTTCACCCTATTTATTATTAATATGTCAAATCCAACTTAAATTTAATTTGTATAGTTCAAATGAATAAATAACTATATTATATAAATAAAATAAAACAACAATTATATAAAATGTTTAGATTTTAATTTTACTTATTATTTAAGACTATTATTCTCTAAATCAACTAATAATTATTCTATATAAAGCTATCAAACGATGTTAATGGTAAAAGAGAGTATTGGTTTCTTTAGAGGTTCATACATCTAAACAATTGGATTTTCAGAATGTACGTTGTCAATAACTATTTTTTAAAACACTTATAATATAATCGTCACATACTATTAAAAAAAATTATTCAATATAAAAGGTTTTTAAATTTATGCTTCCATAATATAATAGTTTTAAGGGTAAAGTATGCATTCAATACATAAATTAACAATTTTGGTATGTTTTAGTACTTGAACTTTCATTTTTTTTTTCAAAATTATACCTATCATTTGGTTTTTGTATATTCTCAGTGCCCACCGTTAAAAACTTAATACTCTTAGTACTTAAAATATCAATTTTGATCAATTTTAATACCTAAACTTTTATTTCCACCACCACCCAAAAAAAGTAACGTTAAACTTTGAACATGGGTACTAAAACGAAACACAAACTAAACTTTAGGTATGATTTTGAAAAAATTGAAAGTTTAAGTACTAAAATGAACCAAATCTGATAATTTAAGTACTAAAAACATAATTTATCCTAATTTTAAATCCATATTAAAAATGTTTTCTTCCGTTATGGAGTGGGTTTTTGGACATCCATTTATATTTGTTGATGACCACTTTGTTGGTCAAATTTATTGGACCGGTTGAAATATTTAAAACTACAATAAATTTTTATGAATAAAAAATTAACAATAAAAGAAAATTGATACTTATATTAATTAATATATTTTAAGTGACAATGACCTAAAAGTTTAATGTCATTGGATGTCCTTTTACTATGAGCTGGCTTTACCTTTTTATTCTTCAATTTTTTTTAATTAAATAGTTTGTATTTGAGGTATTTTCAACGTATTAAATTATATTTTAAAAAGGGTAAAGTATACAAATGGTATTCGATTATAAGATATTGCTTTATCAAGTCCCTTGACTATTAAAAATTACAAAATGAACCTTTGCATATAGAGTGTTACTTTGTTGAGTCCCTTGACTATTAAAAGTTACAAAATGATTATCTAACTATTCATTATGTTTCAAACTCTTAATTTCTCGTTAAAAAATTGACTGTGAAATGATAAAAATATGACACTAAAATCTCGAATAACTATCACATCTCAGTCATCATGTTGACGTTCAGCTTAGACGACTGTCAAATTTTTAACGAAAAATTACGAGTTTGGAACATAATGAACAATCAAGTGACCATTTTATAATTTTTAATAGTCGAGGGCCTCAATAAAACAACCTATCAACAAACTATTTTATAACTTTTTAATAGTCGAGAAACTTAATAAAATATTACCTATAGTCGAGAGACTATTATATACTTAGCCTAAAGAAATCAGATTATGAATTGCCATTAATAATATAAATAAATCTATTGATAAGTAAAATAGAAGATGTGACGCTACTAGCGTGAGCCTATTTAGTACAAATTTTGAATGGTAAAATTTGTTGCTAAAACCACTTAATAATACAAAATTTGACAACGAGATTCTTATTTGTATTTTTTTGTTTGCTTTTGTTTTGACCTTACATAAGATGATAACAATGCTGTCCTTTTCAAATATTTTGTTTAATGAAAATTTTAATTTTTTATTTTATTAATTTAACACAAAATAGAAAAAATAGTCCATCTTGATTAAGATATTCCCTATTTTATGGAAAGTATATCTAATATTTCGTTAAATATTTATTTTAGTTTCTTTAAGAGTATTTAGTCCCAACATTTTATTTTACGACAAAAATGTCTATAAAATTTGATAAAATATTAACTTTGGCCTTTAATTTTGGGGGCATTTTACCCCTGACGTTTTATTTTAAGGTTAAAAACCCTATTTGAAGTATTAATAGTTTGTTGACTAGTAATTTTCATCCACGGATGGATCTTTTTTGTATCAAAATGAAACGTAAGGACCAAAATACTAAAAAAAAAGCTCATAATATCTAGAGGTTTATGGTTTGAGCACGCCGTCTGTAAGGGTATTTGAGTGTTCATTGATAAATAAATTAGAATTTTTCGAATATATGCTATACCTTATAACCATTTCAGATTAATAAAAAAACAATTTATTAACTAATAAGTTTTATCCGTAAAATAATCGAAATGACTATTTAATCGAACATTTTACATATATTTTTTAATCATTATACCTAGGGGTGTATTCGGTTCGGTTCGGTTTGGTTTTTTACCAAAAATTAAACCAAACCGAAATAAACGGGTTTTCAATATTTAAACAGAAACCGAAACCGAATAGTTAAAAAACCGAAAAAACTGAAACCGGTTTTTTCGATTCGGTTCGGTTCGGTTTATCAGTTTTTCAATAAAAAAATCACTTGAAACTATATATTTTTTTTTACAAAAATTACCTATTCGGTTCAATATGGAACAAATGGGTTCCATATGGAAAACCCGAACCGAACCGAATCAAAAAAATGAAGCCTTTAAATCGAACCGAAAACCGAACCGTTTAAAGCCAAACCGAACCGAATCGAACCGTTTTACTCGATTCGTGTCGATTTTTCGATTTTCTCGATTTTGTTGCTCAGCCCTAATTATACCTCTATAAAACGTGCACATGTTGTTGTCCAATTTTATTCGTTTATTGTTCAAACAATTTTCAAATATTAAAAAAGAAAAGAAAATAAAGAGGAGTAAAAAAAATACAAAGATTCAAAAGAGTCCAACGTGGACGGTGCCTTCATATTTTTTTCAGCCTCAAATAGCTCCTTTGTCTGCTCCAAGCCTCCTAACTTAATGTAGTCTTTGCTTTCTTTATAAAACCACTCGTTAAAACCAAAACCCCAAAAAGGAAAAAAGGTAAAATAAGTATTTAGTATCTAAACTTTCAAATCTGGTATATTTTAGTATTTAAATTTTCAATTTTTTTAAATCATACCTAACATTTAGTTTTTGTTTCATTTTTGTATCCGTCATTAAAAATTTAATAGACGGTTTGATGAGACATAGCTCTGGGTGGGTGGACGAATGATCAATTCGAATGTTGGACCACGAGAGAATGACAAGTTGACCAACATAGTCCAGTTTTAGACCCATCGAATGGTTGGGGACGAAGATTGGAGGATGAAGAAGTCGAAAAGTCTATTGTTAATTTGGAGATTGAGCTATTTTTCGATTAAACATAGGTCGAAATCTTGTTTAGGGTTAAATAGGCGCATGTTGAAAAGTTTGAGCTTCATCAGTCGACGGATGCGATGGCCGATGACTATAGACGTAGCTGGCGAGCCTCGTCGGTTAAATTTTTAACGACGAATAATAAAATAAAATAAAAATTAGATATTAGGTATTGTTTAAAAAAAATAAAAAATTTATGTATTAAAACGGATGAAAATATTATGGATACTAATATCGTAATTTATCCCAAAAAAAAACTTTCTTCTTCAACCCGTTCACTCACCATTATAATTCCATTCATCCAACTCTTTCAATTTACAAATCTCAAAAAGCAAAGAGATAAAGTCAGAGAGAGAAATAGAAAAACACTTCACCCTTTACATACATCCATACCACTGCTCAATAATTCACTTTTTCTTTCCCATCTTTTTTAATTTCCCAGCTTTGCTTTGCTCTCTCACTTCCCTTCTTCAACCCCAAATAGGTACCCTTGTTCTTCTTATTCTTCGATGATCATCTGTTTCTGTTCTCTCTCTTATGCTTTGATCAAGGGAAAGACCATTTTGCTTTCATAGCAACTTTTTTTTTTTGGCTTGTAACTTGTCTGGATCTCCATTTTTTCGTCTTTGATTTGATGCTTGTTGATCTGGGTTATGCTTGATCTTGTCTTAGTTTTAATGGGGTTTGTTTCTTTTTTTTTAAATTAACTCTCGTCCTGATCTGCTTGTTTCGTTTTTTGTTCTGTTTGATGATAATGTTTTTTTTGCTTGTTGAATCTGTTTTTCAACTATCTATTGTGAATTTGCAAGTGTACTGGAATTTGGAGAATTCAGTTTAATGATAATAGCTATGGAAATGAGTTTATTTCATATTGTAATTGAAGATTATAGATCCAATGATCTTACCTCTGACCCAAAGTTTTGAATGGTTATTGACTTGGTCCAGTTCTGCTTTTTGATCCCTTGATTGATCGAGTTAAGTGCTTCTTGGATTTCTTATTTATGGCTCTGAAACATTCTGTTTATATGTGTGATCAAATTAAACAGTGTTGATTCCCTCAAAGTTCTTAGTGTTGGTTGAATTTTACCGATTCGACTATTGATGAGTTTATTCTCCAAAGTGCCCGGAAGAACTGCAAGCAAAGGTTTGAAAAATCAGACATGTGCAGATGGTTTTCTTATACTAGTATGCAAACAATGGACGATTGGTTTAAGGAATAGGAGTTCATCAAATTTATTGTTTTTTGGGCCAGAAGAATAGGAGTCATTAATTTCCGACACATGTGAAGTTGGCAAATCTGTGCATATATTGAATACATGATTATTTTCACTTTAAGAATGCTGATTGGAGATCCCCAGTTTTCATCCTGAAGTTTTTGAATTCTGCAATGCAAGATGCATGGACCAAACACTTTCATATTTCTGGAATCGAAAGGTTGCTCCTAGGCCTTTTTATGGTGGTGCAGCATATATAATTGTAGTAAGAGATCAACTTTATGGAATGAAAAAATATATATATGGTAGACTTAGCTTTTTCACTAGTTTTAAGACCTGAATTGTCCAAATGTTAGTCTTAGGGTGGTAATTATCTGTAGCAACTGAAGATACAGTTAGTTTTAGTAGACTAAATAATTCATGGATCATTTTGAATGGACAGCTAGATTTGATTTTGGGAGCACAACGATATATGGCTCTAATGCATGGATTGTACTATTTCTTAGTGCATCGGTTTGAATGGGAGTTTCCTTCTCATGTGGATCGACTTCCAAAGCATTAACACAAGGGGAAGGTTTTTGTACTCATCAGTTGACCTTGCTTTAAGGGATTCCTTTAAGAAGATTCTCACAACCAAAACCATGAATTTCACCAGCCAAGTAATTAGTATACAAATGGCAGTTTAGGGAAGTTGTCCAGCATGCTGACCTTAAAAGAAGGTCCTCGAGAAGGCTGGATTGCACTACTAAGACTATTAATGTTATTTACAATTGTTTTAATTAGAACGGTACATGTCAAGTGAGCTGGTTTGAATGCTAGGCATAAAGACGTTTTCTGAAATTTTAATGCTGAATCCTGACAATACTAAGTCTTGCCAACATTGTTTTGTTGAAGATTGTGAAAAGCTGTTTCTTCTCTTGAATTGCTTCTGTTATGCAGGGTGAACTTATTTTTTTACTTTTTCTGTAATGCTGATTATTATTATGTGATATTTTATCAGGCTTAAATTGGAATATGAGTTGATTAACAAAGTATTTTATTTTGAACTGTAATCAAACTTTTCCTTGCATGATCTAATACCTATATTTCTACAGTAAGATTTGTGCGCTTCCAGACTGCTAAAGGTTGGATTCAGAAGTTGAGCTATACCTTTTTTGCTTAAGGAAACAGTTATAGAGAAGAATTCCCAGAAATGTCTAGCTCTTCAAAAGTTCTGGATCCTGCATTTCAGGGAGTGGGTCAAAGACCGTATCCTTAAATTGAAGGGTATAGCAGTTGTGAAGTTATGGATTTAATTTTTTTCCCAAAATCTTTTTTAAGAGTATATTATTTACCTTTAAATTAGAAAGGCCACAATCAATTACTAAGTTTTTTTCCAATTCCATCTGGTTAAAATAATTATGAAATTTCTGTGTATTTTTTTTCTGCGAGATGTGTATTCACATTGCATACATGTCCACATAAATTTTCATGTAAAAGCTGTTGCACTTGACTTCTTGTAGCGGGACTGAAATCTGGCGTATTGAGAATTTTCAGCCAGTTCCGTTACCGAAGTCGGACTATGGAAAATTCTACATGGGGGATTCTTATATCGTCTTACAGGTGCAGACTCTATTTCTCTCTCACATGCTTTTTCTTTTGTAGATTCTCACCCACATAACATGCATTTCTCTCTCCCATTCTTTTCCAGGATAAATCATTAAGGTGAAATACTGCATCTTTATTTATTTTTATCTCATTTTGTATTTTACATGTTTTTTTGCAGACAACATCTAGCAAGGCGGGTTCATATCTGTATGACATACACTTCTGGATCGGTAAAGATACTAGTCAGGTGTGCTTTTGCTTCGTTCACTTAAGTTGTTAAGGATTTAAACATTCCTCCAAATGATCTGAAAGACTGAAACATCATTTGAGAACATGTTGTCACATGCAGGATGAGGCTGGAACAGCTGCTATAAAAACTATTGAGCTAGATGCAGTACTTGGAGGGCGTGCTGTACAGCAAAGGGAACTTCAAGGGCTTGAATCTGATAAATTTTTGTCGTACTTTAAACCTTGCATTATCCCATTGGAAGGTGGTATTGCTTCTGGATTTAAAAAGCCAGAAGAAGAAGAGTTTGAAACACGGTTGTATGTCTGTAGAGGGAAGCGTGTTGTCAGATTGAAGCAGGTATCTGATGCTCTTTACATAATCTTGATTAATCTGAATGGAATGAAGCAAGAATAAAAAAGTTCCATAAACTACTTATAAATTATTTAATATGAGATTATTGTGGGACAGGGAAATATCATTTTGTATTATGCTCTTTGCAGGTTCCTTTTGCCCGTTCTTCACTGAATCACGATGATGTATTTATCCTGGATACTCAGAATAAGATTTATCAATTCAATGGTGCAAACTCTAACATTCAAGAAAGGGCAAAAGCATTAGAAATTATTCAGTTTCTAAAAGAAAAGTATCATGAGGGAACCTGTGATGTTGCAATTGTGGGTAAGGGTGCATGCATTTACAGTATGGATGATGTTTATCAAGCTTTTGTACTTCTGTACAAGTATTGATTTAATTGCTCAAGCTTTCTACTTCTCTACAAGTATTAATTTAATTGTGGGCTAGGTTTATTTATTTTTCTCTATCTGAGACTTGGACTTTTTCTGTCTACACTATATATGCATTTTAATATAATCAATCACCCTGCCAGATGATGGTAAATTGGACACGGAGTCCGATTCAGGTGAGTTCTGGGTCCTCTTTGGTGGTTTTGCTCCAATCGGCAAGAAGGTTGCCAGTGAAGATGATGTTATTCCTGAAAGTAGTACTGCTAAACTTTACAGGTATTTGTATCTTCTTTTCTTTTTTTTTTTCCTTACTTAGTTTTTCCCCTCCAAGTGGCAAATTGAAGTTTCAAGCGCATCTACAATTGTTATAGAGTTAGATACAAATATTTAATATTTTATTTATATGTTCGTATTAGTGTTTCAGTTTGTTAGTGATTGCGACCTGATTAAAAAGCTTTTAGCCCCCAACCTCTTTCCCAAATGAAATTGTTTGGTAAAATTAAGCAATTGTGTTAAGACCCATTCATGGGCCTGGGAGACTGAAACAACACTCATAAGTTTTCTTTTTCCCCTTTGCTGCAAGCGCACATCAAAGGCTTTTTATGTACTTGAAATCCTCAAGATTCCACAGATTTCGGTATTTCCTTTAATATTTTACTTTTAAATAAAACCCAGCTGTGCCATTCCAGCTAATATTAACCCTTAAGTCAATCAATGTGTATGAAACCTTACTAGTTCAAAATCAACAAACTCTGAAACTGTCATCTATTATTTCGAATTCTAAAACATGTTCTTTCAGTTTGTCCTCTTTGTTTTTTGTGGTCTTGGAATTCTTATAAATTATCTTTACAGTGCAAGAAATCTAAAATCAAGTACTTTAATGTGTTATCAAGAATGTTATGACTAGTTTTGAATTGAAGAGGCAACATTATAAGGTTAGCATTATCTAATTTGTGCTCTATATCAATCTCCTTTCTTTATGAAAAAGGGAAAGGAGAAAAATATAATAAAATAACATGTTAAGCTAATTTTATATTATTTGCCAGACAGTTTTCAAATATTCTTGTCACCTTGATAATGGGTAATGTAGATTAACTAAACTTTCTTTCTTTGGATGCTTGCTTTGAGTTAGATCATTGATTTAGGGGTAAATTTAAGCGAGTCCTGATTGAAATCATTTTTGGTTTATGATCCTACTTTTTCTAAACTTGTGTCTCTATCAATTGAACATTTGGAATCACTGGCTTGTAGCATAACTGAGGGCGAGGTGAAGATTGTAGAAGGTGAACTATCAAAAGGACTATTGGAAAACAACAAATGCTATCTACTAGACTGCGGCGCTGAGGTTTTTGTTTGGGTTGGACGGGTGACACAAGTAGAGGACAGAAAAGCCTCCAGTCAAGTTGCTGAGGTAGAACTAGAGGCATTGCATTGATTTATTCATGTATTTCAAGAAAGTTAATCCTATTTCCCAACCTTTTATATCTAGGACTTTATTGCTAGCCAGAATAGACCAAAAGCAACACGCATAACCCGGGTCATCCAAGGGTATGAAACCAATTCATTCAAGAGCCACTTTGATTCTTGGCCAGCAGGGTCTACAGCTCCTGGTGCAGAGGAAGGAAGAGGAAAAGTAGCAGGTTTGGATCGCTTAATAAGCTACAAATAAAGCTATTACATTTTGTGGTTGACAATATTGATTTTTTTTTACTTCTAGCTTTGCTGAAGCAACAAGGAATTGGTGTCAAGGGGACGAGCAAAAGTGCTCCTGTAAATGAAGAAGTTCCTCCTTTGCTTGAAGGCGGTGGAAAGATGGAGGTCGAGTTAATTTTCTTCTTTTTTGTTGGTTTTTGGCATTTGACTTTAAGATACAGACTGTTGACATGAGTGTGGTTCCTTTTTTTATTTTTCCAGGTATGGTGCATCAATGGCAGTGCCAAGACACCGTTGCCAAAAGAGGATATTGGTAAATTCTATAGTGGAGACTGCTACATTGTGCTTTATACCTACCACTCGGGTGACAGGAAAGAAGATTACTTTCTTTGCTGTTGGATTGGAAAGGATAGCATTGAGGTAATTTGCATCATTCTTATCTTAGTTTGAAATAATGTTATTAGCATGTCCTTTTTCATTCATCTTATACTTTTTTCTCGCGATAAAATGCTTTCCAAGCCTCCCCCTGAGATGGAATTTAGAATATGCCTTCCAAATTTCATGCACATAAGAAACATAGATTGCTTCTTAAATTGGATTCTTAAGATGCACTGTTTATTCAATGGCATTCATAGGTATCATTAATTTTGGTGGCTTGTAAGTCCTGAAGCACCTCCAATTGAACTATTGATAGAGGATTGAATTCTAGTTGCACCTATTTGATTCTATAATTTTAAGATCAGGCTATGGAAATACTGAATGCACACCACCATACATATATAGAACACTTCAGCAGCACTTTCAGTTTAAGTCATGAATAATTAGAACAAATATATGTGGTAAAAATCTGTAAAATACAGAATTCTATGCAGATTCAGATTTCAACAATTGGTGCTGGAAACTTATCAGTGTTTAACAAGTCCTAATCTGGATGGATTTCTTTATTGTACAAAGTAAACTATAATTAATGCCCGGGAATTAAGATTACTTGTAAAATTAAACAATCAAATGAAGCTAAATTGAAGAAACATAAAGCCCATAATCCTCGTGCATTCTAGAATCTGACAATACCATAGCACTCGTGGTACCTTGAACATAAAATTAGAAGCAAAAGGAAAACCTGACATCTGTGGTAAGAAATTGAAAAGTAACTTGAAGGCTGCTTTTTCCCCATTGATGATAGTGCATTAACCATTACATGTATTGCTTATGATACTAATTGCGCCTCATCGTTTTTGTTTCTTAAATATAATTTACTCGGCTAAATTTCTTTGGAATAAGTATCACCCTTATTTTCATTGTTGATTTTTGAGAATTTGGCAATTTCCGTATACTTTGCTGTGCTTAAATTGTATGGGAATTGATTTCTAGTTCATTCAGTGGTAACAATATCTACTCGATTTGGCTTGTTACTGCATTGAATCTAAATCCCTCTTTTTCCATTCTTAATGTTCTCTGCATAGAAGAAAGGTGTTTATGTGGTTACATGTCAACTTGATGGACTTCCTTCTGGTGGTGGTCACTCTCACTATTCAAAATTTTATTTGACAAATAGTTTCTTATATTTCTTAATTCAGGAAGACCAGAAGATGGCTGCTCGACTGGCTAACACGATGTGTAACTCACTTAAGGGCAGGCCTGTTCAGGTAGCATATTACCTTCAGCTGAGTAACATGATTCTAATGCTTGTATTTCTAATATATGCTTATTGCAGGGTCGAGTCTTTGAAGGAAAAGAACCACCCCAGTTCATTGCACTTTTTCAACCTATGGCGGTCCTTAAGGTATTCAATTTGACATCAAAGTTTTAGAATATCATTATCAATTGCTTTTGAATATTCGGCTTAGAATAGGAGGGAATCAACTAATTTCCCATGGTTGATCCCTATCTAGGGTGGTCTAAGCACTGGCTACAAAAAGAGTATAGCAGACAAAGGCTTGACGGATGAAACCTACACTGCAGATTGCGTTTCTCTATTTCAAATTTCAGGAACCTCCGTGCACAATAATAAAACATTGCAAGTTGATGCGGTATGCATTGTTTGGTTATTTTGTACGTTTTTGCATTTTAAATTTATGTTTGGCTGGTTTTGGGTTTCCAAGGAAGACTTATTTTTTCCTTAAAACTTGCATGCAAACCAGTTTAATTTTGTTTTGCATGTAAGTATTCTTTAGACCCCATTGAGTACAGGATCTGTGTGCTCTTTTCTGTTTTTGCTGAGAAGTTGGTAATTTTAACTTTTGTTTGGTTGAAGAATTTGATTAAAAATCTGGAAGTCAACTTGTAAATGATCCAATATATCTATGCTTTTAAAATATTCAAATTCTAATCTTTCGAGGACTTATTGTTTTTAAGCTCAAAAATATACTTGCTTATTTTTTATTCGTTAGTGCTGCAATTATCTGAAACTAGACTGAAAAGGTACCATATGCTAGATGTATATATATATATATTTTCAGAAGTCAAGAATTAAACTACTGTGAAAACTGAAAAGAACTTGTTACTACAAGTAGCCTTGTTGGACAAATGCTGGCCTGGAATGCTGAAAATATCAGATGAATATACATTGATTTGTGAAGGTTAATTTTACAACTAAGAGTAGCAAACTAGTTGATGTGAAATCAACTAGGATGCAATATATAAAAGCCAAGTTTTTTCTCAAGGAGACTTAGTTAAGTGCTTTGGGACTTGGTTAAGTACTCCTAACCTGGTTTAACTCAAGAAAAAAGAAACATTAAAGCTTTGGGAAGTAGTTAAGTGCTTCTAAACTGGTTATGCATGTTGAAAGGCACATAAAACGACCAAAAAGGCAATTTTCCTTCACTCTATCATTTTACTAATAGTGACTGTGAGATGCAAGATACTTTTATTTGACATTAAATGTGTGGTGATGACAGTATTCCTGCAGTTTGTTGCCGCGATGGAGCTGCATGATTACATATTCCTTTTGCATCCTGACAGCAACACCTCATTTTTGTAACTATTGTTCAGGTGGCAACATCTTTGAACTCAACTGATTGTTTCCTACTGCAATCTGGATCTTCAATGTTTACTTGGCATGGAAATCAAAGCACCTATGAACAGCAGCAATTAGCTGAAAGAGTTGCTGAATTTTTTAAGGTATACTTTTTATAGATGCTTATTTTTTGACTTTATATTGGTACAGTCTAGCATATCTAAGTTCCAACTAGTTGTGTTTACCAATCTATAAATTAACTAATATATCTGTGTGTGTGTGTGTGTGTGTGTGCCTGTATACCCTGTATCAATAAATTAGTAAGATTTAATTCTTGTATAATGATTATACTTCTTTCAGTTGAGTGTTGCAGTTTTCATTTATTACAGTTCCAGCTAATTATACCTATTTTCTGCTTTTTGAGATCTAGTTGTTTAGGTTGCTACAAATTCTTTTTCCTTTGAATCTCTTCTGAATACATAACAGGAAATGATAAACTATACTGAAAATTGAGCATTGTGAGATGGTTGTCTTTAATCCTTGCAAAACTAATATTTTTTCTTCTGATTGAACCTCCTTGATAAAAAGTCAATAGCAACACTGTCTAGCTGTTTCGAACAACTGCTTCTCCCATGTCATTCGATCATCTAATAATGTTCTTTTGCATTCAGCCTGGAGTTGCCCTCAAACATGCTAAAGAAGGAAAGGAGAGCTCTGCCTTCTGGTTTGCACTTGGGGGGAAAGAAAGTTATACCAGCAAAAATGCAGCTACAGAGGTTGTCAGGGATCCCCACTTGTTCACCTTCTCTCTTAACAAAGGTATCTTTTCTTATTCATAAATATGATTCGCTTCACTTTCATATTTTTGCTCTAAGATTTCTTGCTGTTTCCCCTGTTTATTAATGATACTTTAACCATTCTAACTGTTCTTTGCATTATTTTGTCTGGTTCCACATGGATGTCTCAGGAAAGTTTGAGGTGAGCTTTTTTAATTTAATTGACAGTCGTTGGTACAGATATCCAAGTGTTTTCTATATGTAAATCAACATTCTGTTGTGCAGGTTGAAGAAGTTTACAATTTCTCTCAGGACGATCTCTTGACAGAAGATATTTTGATACTTGACACACATGCTGAAGTGTTTGTTTGGGTTGGTCAGTGTGCTGACCCCAAAGAAAAGCAAAATGCATTCGAAATTGCCCAGGTATGAATAAAACATTGATTCCTCATCGTTTTATCATCTTCCAAGATACTTGTTGTTCATTTTGTAAGTTCTTTGTAGAAATACATAGACATGGCTTCATCTCTAGAAGGCTTGTATCCACATGTTCCACTTTACAAAGTTACTGAAGGAAACGAACCCTGCTTCTTCACAACATTCTTCTCATGGGATTCCACCCAAGCTACTGTATGTGTGCTCATGACTGGTTTTTATAACTTTATCCTTAAGTTACTGCCGATTCAATTAATGTTAGATCACTTTTATCTTCCTCAGCAACAAATGTTGAGAATTTAAAATTTAAATTGAAGTTAGAGTGCCCCAATTAGGGGTGCTTAACGAGTTGAGAAGCTCGAACTCAACTCGGTCAAAACTCGGTAAACGCTCGACTCAAATTGGCTTGATTCGAGCACGAACTCGACTCGAGACCTTAACGAGCTGAGCCGAGCAAAGTCTAACTCGACTCGATAAGTTCGCGAGCAACTCTTTAATTTTTTAAAATATATTTTTAGTAATTACTTCAAAATTATTTCCTTCAAAAAATAAATCTAAATAATAATTATTAATTTATTAATAAATACTAATAAATAATAAGTTAACTAATCTATTATTTTTAATAAATAATAAAATATTATTAATTAATAGTATTATTTTAATACAAAAAAACCCAACCCTAATATCCTCGAATAGTATTAGTAAATTTTATTTTTAGTTTAAAAATAAGGTAAATTTTTAGTGAGCTTAATGAGCAACGAGTCGAGTAGCAAATTTTTTTAAAGAGCATGAGTTGAGCACAATTTTGACGAGCTTAACAAGCAACAAGTCCAGTCGAGCAGCAAAATTTTTTAACGAGCACGAGTCGAGCACTGTCCAACTCGCGATCGACTCGCTCGATAAGTACCCCTAGCCCCAGTGATGGAAAAGTAGGAAGGTATGATGTATTAACGTTGGATCTAACCAGAGAGGGAGTTCAATATTTTAAGAAAGTGCAATACACGTCTTCCAAAATTAAGAACTTCTCATATCTTGAACATTACTATTATCCCATTGTTGTCCCTCCTCCCCCACCCTTACCCCAAAAAAAAAGAGTTATACTCATACTGGAAAAATTATGAAACCCTATGTTACTGACATGGCCACCCGTCCTTTCATGTATGTTGCATTCAGCTACATTTGTTTGATATTTATGCTGTAGGTGTTCATTGTGGATACAGGTGCAAGGAAATTCATTCCAGAAGAAGGTGGCATTACTCTTTGGGGCTAGCCATGCTGCAGAGGTAAATTTTTCTTTAATTCACATGAATACACAGTTTCTTTCTGTACAGAGAAACTTGGATCAAAAATATTTATGGTAGTTAATTTTAGCTTCTTGTAAGGAAAATAATTATTTTCTATATATGAAGTTATGATGGATTTGGAAGCATCAATGAGATTGTGTTCTAACTTTTTTTTTTGGCTTTTCCAGTACTTAAGGTTGCTAGGGATTGAATATTGTCATGGGAACTAAGGTTCCAACATCCTGCCAATAGACTACATAGTTGTGTTATAATTTTTTTTCGAAACGGAAAGTTCTTATTCATAATAATAATTATACATTGTTAGGGGCCTCGTTAAGAAACATAGTTGTGTTATAAAATTACAACTTTTTGTGCTGTTGGATAGATTTTCCTTTTGGCTTCCTGTTATAACCTTTATTCTTTCTTTAATGTGCTTATCCAATGTATATGGTTGCCAACTCAACTCAGAAAGTGAATGTCTTTAACTTCTAAGATGAATTTATGATATTACATATGTGACGACTTGATGGAATTGAACATTAGCATGGTTGCCTCTAAAGAGGAGCCTTTGATCCTTTTGGATAATAATTCAAATTGGTAAATTAGGAAATGATATTAGATCTTATGTGAAGATGAAAATGCCTCTCTCTCTCTCTCTCAAAACGGTGATACTCATGAACTAAACTCGTTCCCTGACTGATGGTTTCCATGCTGTTGAGACAGAACAAGTCCAATGGGAACCAAGGGGGTCATACACAAAGGGTTTCAGCTTTAGCGGCCTTGTCCTCTGCATTTAATCCTTCTTCTGCCAAATCAACCCCTTCGGTAATAAGCTGCTTATGGCACTAACTTTTTCTAACTCTCTCTCTCTCTCTCTTTTTCTCTCTCTGTGACTATATACCTACATAAATGTATATATGTACATATATTTAATCTTGACCATATCTACTATAGAATCTCAATTAATAAAGCTGAAAAGTAGCTCGTAAGTTGTACCTGTTGCACTTCCTTGTAACCAAACTATTTGGGCTTTTTATGGCAATCGATTATTATGTTTGGTTCTTTAGTGGATTGATGCTGTGAGGTGCTAAAACTACTATAAACCGACCTAATGAGTTTTCCCAAAAAGTGTGGAAGGGGTTTATAGAAACATGAAGATCAATGTCTTACAAGATTGCATGTTGGTTTTATTTACTACGCTACTGCACAGAAGGTAGTCTTTGTCACAGCTTATCGCAATTGTGAACCCTAGCCGTCCCAATTTTTGCCTCCTTTCACCTTTGACTTGCATTTGTAGCTGCTGCATGAACTAGTTGACTTTAGTTTTTACTGCAAAAAATAAACAATTGAGTCATCCCACCATCCAAGTTATACTGCGATTTTCATCTTATGGAAAAGAATATTTGCTGTAATGTGATTTAAATTATTACTTATTTTGCTAATGTTCCTTTGCATATGTTCAAAGTTTCATTTCATCCCTGAATTGGTCAAAAGGCTTAAGGTCCCTAGTTGTTGAAACATCTTTTCTTTGACCTTTTATCATAGATACAATAGCCAATAGGTGTTGAAATTTGACACATCGGGGAATGGTGAAACATCATAACTTCCTTATCATCTGGAAATTAGGAATTGACAGTTACCATTCGAAGCAGAAAGTCTTAAGATTCGATTAACGTTACCACCTTAGCAAAATGTTTACTTAATGGTTTGGACGAGGCTCAAATTTTATACTATGATGGGGTGAAAGTACAATAATAATCTTCTTGGAACTTTTGAAAATTGTCAATTGTACTTTAGCTGCACGACCAAGTGGATCCAAGAAGAGTTCCAAACATGACAACAAGCCGCTCTATACTTGTTTACTGTATTTATGCGTTCTGTTTTCTGGGATTAATGATTCTCATCCGTGCTCTGCTTATATAGCTGGATCCGGAAAGGCAGAATGAAAAAAAAAGTTATCCTTCTAAAAGTGGAAAATGGTGAATTAGATTTCTTTTATGCTTTAATTCTTTAATTTGCCCTGTTAGCTACATGTTCTATTTTTTGCAAAATTATATTTGTTTTCTCCCATCTCCTTCTAATTTAATTTATAATGCATTTCATTTCCCCTTATTCAGTGGCCTAAATTATTTGTTATTCTTGTTCCATCAATAATGTTTGTTTCAACTTTAGTCAGTTTGTTTGACCCTTCTGTCTTTGCATGTTACTTGATGCAATTTATTATTGTTTCCTTTTCTTTAGTTTCCATTTCTGTCTATACACATCATAATATGTTGTTGCTTTTCGGATTTCACAATCATTCGTGAAGTTCTATGTCTGTATTATGAGAATTTGAAGCACTCACTTACGACGCTTACATGTCAAGTATTTGATATGTGCCATTATGGCAGGCACAGGATCGAACCAACGGAAATCAAGGAGGATCTACACAGAGAGCTTCAGCTTTAGCTGCCTTGTCATCTGCATTTAATCCGTCATCTGCTAGCAAAATCTCTACCCCTAAGCCTTCCAGCACTAGTCAGGGATCGCAAAGAGCGGCAGCTGTAGCGGCTCTTTCTTCGGTTCTTACTGCTGAAAAGAAGAAACAGTCACCTGATGCATCCCCTGCAAAATCCACTAGCAGTACTCCTGCAGTAACCAGCCCACCTCGTAAGAACCCCCTTCTACTCTTTGGACAGCGTCATCTAAAAACATGAACCATTGTTTTCGGCTGATTCAAAAGAAGTAGCTAAATCTGATGAGTAAATTTGACCCGTCTTTTCATATAATTCTGAAATGTTATCTAATGTATTCGGATTGAACAGCTGAAGCAAAGAGTGAAGTGGACCCTTCTGAAATAGAGGTTCCTGAAGCCAACGAGACTGGTATAGTATCCGAAACCAATGGGGAGGATTCAGAACCAAAGAAAGAGAGCGAGCAGAATGAGAACGGGAGTGGAAGCACTCAAAGTACTTTCAGTTACGATCAGCTGAAGGCCAAATCTGAAAATCCTGTAACTGGGATTGATTTCAAACGGAGAGAGGTCTGTCCCACCGTTGACGTTTTTAAGTTCACTCTAACTTCTTCCGAATATATTAACATTCCCGCTCTTCGATTTCTCAGGCTTATTTGTCAGATGAGGAGTTCAAGACAGTATTCGGGATGGAGAAAGTAGCATTTTATAAATTGCCAAAGTGGAAGCAAGACATGCTGAAAAAGAAGGTTGATTTATTCTAGAGAATGAATGCCATACCATGTCCTTCATCTACATTCTAACTAGCAAACGCTTCATTGAATCCGGTATTCACTTCTCTCGAAAATTGTGGTTTCGTTAGTATACGATGTGCTTGGATTGCGTTATCTTGTTTGCCTTTTCTGATATAGTCGTGGCTAGTATCCGATTGCGACGTTGGTTGAAAGAGTGATTTTTTTTAGCTTCCGCCCCCCCTCCTGGCGTCACTGGCTTTTGTAAGGATCACATGGTAGTATACAAGGAGAGTTGGCAGGTCAACATTCTTTCATTTGGTTGTCATATTTGTTTCCTTGTTTTAGCTTGGTGTATATGATTTGCATTTGTATGAATATATTTTCATCCATGGTTTGAGATTGAGAATATTGTTTTATGTTTTCATAACCTTCTTTTACATAGATTTTGAAGGAGGGATGTCATTTAACTTTGTTATGTTTTCTTGGATGTTTTTTTATTCTTAAACTACTGTTTTCAAGAATATCAAACACTAGTAGCTTCTTGGTCAAATTACGCGTTTAGTACTAAAACTATAAGTTTTTGTCCGTTTTAGTTCTTAAACTTTCAATTTTTCAATAATGTCTAAGGTTAGTTTTTTTTTTCATTTTAATATTTGCCGTTAAAAAATTTAGTTTTTATTTCATTTTAGTATCCGTTCAAAATTTAACGTTAAGTTTTGAATTTCTTTCTTGAAAGTTTTAAGTATTAAAATGGTTCAAAACTTAACAAGTTTAGTAAACTTACCTAAACTTGTTAAGTTTTTAACGGCGGGTATTGAAATAAAATAAAAACTAAAAGTTAGGTTTGATTTTAAAAAAAATTGAAAGTTTAAGTATTAAAATGGATTGAAATTGATAGTTTAGGTATTCAATGCGTAATTTACCATAGATTCTTTTGTAGATATCATGCATAATAAAAAAGAATTACATACGTGAAAATATAAAAAAATAACCTAATTTAAGGTTAAGATACAATGAAAATGGGACATAATTAAAAATGTTATAAAAAATATAATATTTTAAATTAGTCGTAATCTAAAATATTATTTTTTTCGTAATATTTTCTTTGCAATCAATTAATATTTTAAGTTGTAATAAAGAATGTTATATAGAATATAATATTTGAGATTACATTAATATTATATATTTTTTAAACATTTATCTTATTTTTTTTCCATGTTTTCATCGTAAATAATAACTATTAACATATTATATCAATTTTCTATTACTAGAATAAGAACTATCAACTGTCAAGTAACTGATTTATTATAAAACAATTAGGAGCGGTAGAATTCTATTCCCACATTCACAAGAGGATGCCAAAATAGCCGTAATAATAAAATGGGTAAAGTACATAAATAATCTCCTGATTATATGATAACATTTTATTAAGTCTCTTAATTATTACAAATTATAAAATGATTCTTCGATTATAGAAAATTACTTTGTTGAGTCTTTAGATTATTAAAAATTATAAAATTGTCACCTTATTATTAATTATATTCTAAACTCGTCATTTTCTATTAAAATCTTGACAACAATATACGTTGTACGTTAATCTGCTGACTGAGTTATAATAAAATCTGATTTCATAATCTTAAATGACTAACATATTTCAGTCAACATATTAATATCCAACTCAGACGATCGTTAAATTTTTAACGGAAAAAACGAGTTTGGAACATAATGAATAGTCAAGTGGCCGTTTTATAACTTTTAATAGTTGAGAGACTCAACAAAAAAAACTCCTTGTAATTGAGAGATCATTTTGTATCTCTTATTTATAAAAAAAAAAAAAACTCAATAAAATATTATACTATAACCAGAGACCATTTGTATACTTTTACCATAATAAAATCCAGCTTCTAAGTAGGTCTTTTAATGTTATCAAATTCAGGTCTTCTCTCTCTCCCCAAATGATCACTCTATCTAGAGGTGAGTAAAATTTGACTCGATTCAAAAATCAAATTTTTCGACTTGATTCAAATTGAAAAACTCGACTCGAAAAAATTTCAAATTTAAATCGAGTTGTAAAATGCAACTCGAATAACTCAAAATTTTTAGTAACTAGTAGATTTATTTTCAAGTTTGACTCGAGTCCTTGGCTTTGTATAATATATGTATATCACATATGAAAAAATATGAATAAATATATTTGTATTATATATATATAAATACAGAAAGTCACTTAAATTGGAATAAAATAATATTATAATATTTACAATTAAATTTAAATAAAAACTCAAAAAATTGACTCGACTCAAAAAAAATTCAAATTCAAATCGAGTTGTAAAATACAATTCGAATAAATCAAAATTTTTAGTAACTAGTGGATTTATTTTCAAGTTTGACTTGAGTTCTTGGCTTTGTAATAATATATGTATATCAAACATGAAAAAATATGAAGAAATATATTTGTATTGTATATATGGTTATAGAAAGTCACTTAAATTGAAATCGAATAATATTTTAATATTATAAATATTATAAATATTTATAATTAAATTTAAATAAAAACTCGAAAAATTGACTTGACTCGATTCAAATCAAATTTTGTAAACTCGAATCGACTCAAAAAAATTCAAATCAAATCCGAGTTGTAAAATAAAACTATCAATTCAAATAACTCGAACTTTTTTGACCCAACTCGATCAAACGCCGCCAACCGTTAAATTGCAACAGTGACTCACTATTATTGGTGTGATTCAACTTCACACCGCTATTTTCCACCGCCACCGCTACCACTATATAGCGGCCTCTGCTATACCACTGCTATTCCAATTCCTGCTTCTACTTTATCAAGTTATAAACACAGAAAACCAGAAGTTACTTCTGCTATTTCTAATAGAAGTTTAGAAATTCTAACAAGTCAACGTTAAGAAAATTAAAATTATTAAATAACGAAAAAAAATGTTTTTTTACCTTTTAATTTACGGTAAATAAATAATGTTTGGGTTTAGGGTTTAAAATATTCTATGAAACTTTAAAATTAATTGAGATTGAATTTTCAAAGGGATATCATTCCCCACTTGGAACCTAGAATGCAAAAATTAATGGAAATTGAATTTTCAAAGGGATATTATCCTACTAATTTATAGTAAAAGGATATTATCTACTAATTGCCTGGTGAAGCTTGGACAATACGAAAAGGCTATGATATATTTAATTCCATGAGAGAGGAAAGAGCAGATTGCCGGACAGATGGAAAATTGTAAGGCTGTATTCAATACATGCTTGCGGAAGGTATAAGACCCAATATTTTTTTCATATAACACACTGATGCCTGCATATGCTTCATTTGGAATGAGTAGAGAAGCAGTTGCCGTTTTTGACCAGATAAAACAAAATGGTTTCCTTCCAGATGATGTTTCTTATACTTCTCTACTTAATGCTTATGGAAGATCACAATTACCTGAAAAGGCTAGGGAGGTCTTTGATATGATGAAAAGGCTGTGTAGTGCTTCAGAAAATTGGGCAAAGGCTTCTGCACTTTTTCCGGAGATGGAAGAAAATGATATCCAACCAGATTCTATAGCATGTTCAGCTCTAATGCGAGCTTTTAACAAAGGAGGACAACCGACCAAGGTTCTTGTTTTAGGAGAATATATGAGAGAGAGAGCAATTCCTTTAAACGATGCTGTTTTATTTGAAATGGTATCAGCTTGTAGCATGTAAGTTTCACGTCTATATTTTCTGAAAGAAACATGTTTCATTAAATTTTTGCCCCTTTTTAAAACGATATTCTTTAGGGTTGTTTTTTCTCCCCTCCCGGTGTTCTTGCTTGCAGCTGATGCAGATCTTTCTATTTTTACCCTTATAGCAGAGGAAAATTAACTTTTGAAGAAGTTCCAGAATTTGATGATAATGAATCCATAGTAGCTACACTTATATTGACACTCAATTTTATCCTTTTTGCATTTTGAAGGGGGGAACATAGATAGAAGAAATGACTAGTTTTTGCTGGAGCCAAATTAGATGTCACTTTACCTTTACAATATCAAAGCAATAGCGTAATATGTAATCTTATATCTATTGACGTTGCCTTGTTTGTTCCGTGTCTAAATATAAGAATGGATTATCCTGCATCATCTAAGTGTGTTGTTTTCCCTTCAAATGTCTAATTTCACTTGCTTTGAAGCTTTCAGATAAATAGATTCCCCCCATTTTACATGAAAATCAGTCTGCTTTATCTGCTTACTAGAAACTAACAGTGGGTGTTTGAATCAAGTTTACAAGATTGGAAGACCACACTTGACCTGATCAAACTAATGGAGCCTTGGTTCCCTTCGGTTTCCATTGGGCTTTTGCATCAGCTTCTTCATCTTCTTGGGAGGAGTGGAAAAATTGAATCTATGATGAAGGTACTTGATTTCCTTAATATTTATATATGTAATAAAAGTTTATGTTTCTGGTCTTTCTCAAAAGGACTTGAAATTAATCCCCAATGACTCCAAAATATAGCCAACGATTTTTAATGGCTAGTTTACTTAAATATTACAAAGATAGTACCGATACTCTTGAAAGGAGTATCGACACTCCCTGTTTTGGGCAGTTTTATTTTGCAAAAAAATAATCCACAACGACTCTAAAATATTTCCAACGGCTAGAAACGACCACAAACTCATTACAACATATAAAAACAAGTTGAGGACACTTGAAGAATGTTAGAACATCTATCCAAGCAATCAAACACAAGAGAAGAAATTTTTATTCCTATTTTTCTTTCTCTTGTAAATATTAGTGTTTTAGTGAGCTTAACTTTGCAAACACCTACCTTGTGAGGTTTTCTTGTTTACATCTTTTATCCTTTTGTAAAGGGGAGTGGTTCTATCTTAGCCATTGAAAAAAATAGAGATTTGTAAATGTGATCCCTTTATCCTGTGGAAAAGAAAGAACAAATTAGTGAATTTGTTAGAAAATCTTTAGTGAGGAGCTAAGGTAGTGGATGTAGATTTTGGTTGAGAAAGTCGAACCACTATAAATCTTTGTGCATCAATTATCTCATCCTTAAATCTCCTTAATCCCTAAATTTTTTCTCAAATCCACTTCAACCCCTCTTGGAAATCATTCAGTTGTTCATTTGAGCTTCAATTTTAATCCCAACAATTGTTATCAGAGCTTGACTCATTAGAAGGTCTAACAACCTTGAGATGATCCTTAAAGAAGCTCTATCCATTTTTTGAAGCAACCGAGAAGATGGCTTCCACCTCCGGCTCGTTCCGCGTGGAAGACTCTCAACCGATCAACAAGCCTCCATAATTCAATGGAGGCAACTACTGTCATTGGAAGAGCTATTCATCAAATCCAATTATCTTGATGCATGAGAGATGATCAATAACAACTACTTTTCTCCAAAGAAGAAGAAGGAGTGGAGTGCTCAACAACGGAAGAAAACTCAACAAAATGCTAAGGTCATGCACATGTTGTTTTGTGCACTTGGTCCCAATGTTTATGAAGGAGTTTCTTCTTGTTCAAATGCCAAAAAGCTTTGGAATAAACTCGACGAACTTCATGGTGACTAGAAAGAAGAACCACCAAAGGTAGTGTGCTTAACAGCTCTTGAAGAGCCCAATGTATCTTCTAACTCAAATGAATTAAATTCATATTCTTTTGATGAGTTACAAGATGTTTATGATGAATTGTATTTGGAATTTGAGACTATGAATTCCAAATATAAGAAATTAATTTCAAAATTTAAAATTGAAAATGATTTTCTTTTGAAAACAAAATTGGATTCTGAAAAGCAAAATGAAATTTTAAAAAATGATTTTGAGCTTTTAAAAATAAAAATTAATGATTTGGAAAAAGAAAATATTGATTTTAAAGTTAAGCTTGAAAGCTTAACAAAGGAAAAAGAATAATTTCTCAAACCAATTCATCCTATTTAAAAATGACAAAATGCTTACATTGTCATTTCCATAGCCATTTGGAACATACTTGTACTTTAAAGAAATGAAAACATTTTAAAATTAAACAAGTATGGGTTCCAAAGAGAATAAGGGACATTAGCACTAACGTTCAAGGATCAAAAACAATTTGGATACCTAAATCCACATAAATGTCTCTTGTAGGTGTGTTGGTGCAATGATGATGAAAGTGAAGATACTCAAATGCTCTAGCCACACTTGAAAAGGAATGAGTAACCTCTAAACTTAATGTTTTTGTTTTGATTAATTGGTTGCCTAATTGTTGTATGCATGCATGAGTTTTGATTTTAAATGATTTTATGTTTTCTATATCATGTATGTTAAAAATATGTTATGATAAACATTTTAAAGTTTTAATGAATTTTCACAATTTTTAGTTCATCATAATGAATTTTGGTTAAAAATGGTTTTAATGCTTTATTTTTACAAATTTTTATTTTTGACCTTAATGTAAATGTTTATGCACATGATTTATTGCAAATGATATCTCTCTAACAATTGATATCAATTTTTTAAATGCATAACATTTTTGGATAGTTTTATGCACATGCACTTAAATACTATAATTGATAGTGCATAAAGTATATTAAACTTGGATATATTAAATTTCATGTGCTATTAACATATTTGTTCTTCTTTGTTGAAATTCAATGTCTTTTAAGTGTCATGCCTTTAAACTCAAATTTTTGTTTGGAATGTTTTTATTGAGGGAGAGTTTTGATTTTTCAAATGATTTTTTTGTTAAAATTTACCACTTACTCTCCATTGTTATTTTTGAACTTTAAAGTTGAATTATTTTTTATATAACAAAAAGGGTAATAAGTATGAGTTTGAAAAATTCAATTTTAAAAATGAAAAAGAGGGAACTTAATATTTTTCAAATATTGCTCTTTTTCACTAAATATTTTATTAAGGGAGAGTTTTGCCAAAACAATATTTTTTCAAAAAAGGGGGAGATTGTTAAACTATGTTTTATAATATTTTGATATAATAAATTAAGATCAATGTTTTTGGACTTAATTGAATTTGTTCAAAGTTTTCAAAAATAATTCAAAGTCCATTAAACTAGAATTTGAGCACAAATTATTTTTTCTAGGTACGTAGTACCGATACTATTCTTACAATATCGATACTACATGAACATTACCAGTACTGTTCATGTGGTGCCTATACCAAAGGTAAGAGAAATATCGATACTCTCTAGGTAGTATCGATACTACCAGATGTTTTTCAAATTGCTCAAATTTTAGAATGTAAAATAGGTACCGATACTACTTTACACAGTGGTATCGATACCATGAAGTATTGTATCAATACTGGTCAAGCCAACAATCTTTAACGGCTAGTTTATTTAAATATTACAAAGGTAGTACTGATACTCATGAAAGGAATACTAATACTCCCTGTTCTAGGTAGTTTTATTTTGTAGAAAATTAATCTCCAACGGCTCTAAAACATCCCCAACTGCTAGAAATGGTCAGAAACTCACTCCAACATATAAAAACAAGTTGATGACACTTGAAGAAGGTTAGAACACCTATCAAAGCAATCAAACACAAGAGAAGAGCTTTTCATTCATATTTTCCTTTCTCTTGTAAATATAGTGTTTTAGTGAGCTTAACTTTGTAAACACACACCTTGTGAGGTTTTATTGTTTACATCTTTTATCCTTTTGTAAAGGGGAGTGGTTCTATCTTAGCCATTGAAAAGATAGGGATTTGTAAAGGTTATCTCTTTATCCTATGAAAAAGAAAGAACAAATTAGTGAATTTGTTAGAAAATCATTAGTGGGGAGCTAAGATAGTGGATGTAGACTTTGGTTGAGAAAGTCGAACCACTATAAATCTTTGTGCATAAATTTCCTCATCCTTAAATCTCTTTAATCCCTAAGTTTTTCTCAAATCCACTTCAACCACTCTTGGCAATCATTCGGTTGTTCATTTGAGCTCATCTTTAATTCCAACAGATGCAAATACAATTGCCATTGATCATATAGAATAATCAAGTCCTCAATTCAAACATTTAGATATCATTCTTTTTAATTTAGCAAATCGTTAGTTCTTTAATTATCAACAAATTCTAGAACATATGGTTAAAAGTTTTCAGTTAAAACCTTCTATCTCCTACTGGTTATGGCAAGGCCGATCATGAATATTTTTTTGGCTCGGGATGAAATAAAAAAATGGGTCCGTAGTTCAAATGAAATTTAAGAAATATGTAATATTACTTTTTTTATTAAATTAAACAAATAATAATCCATTATAATGTCAAAAATATATTTAAGCAAACAAATACTTAAAAAAAAACATTGCGTTCAAGCATTTCTTGATGCAAAATCATTGATGATAGTGTTAACATCAATGTTTTTCAATGTGTTTTTCTCAATACATAACATATCATTTGGAAATAAAAGAACATTCTTATCTAGAATTTGAAAATATATAAAAATCAAAAGAAAGAATTTGGAAACATGATTTTTCTTAGAATTTGGAAACATGATTTTACTTAGAATTTTATGAACAATCTTCAATCCTAGTCAAGCACCACATTTGATGATAAATAATTATGACTTTGTATTTATGAGAAATATGAGAAATTAAAAAGTGAGAGTAATAATTTTAAGAGGAATTGTAAAATATGGAAGAGAAAATAAGGAGACTAATTATACTTAAATTTTCTCCTCCATTGAGTTTTGAAGAGAAACAAAATAGCAATAATAAAATTTTTCATTGATATGGAAAATCGGGAACGAGAATTGGTGAATTGATGGTGAGAATTTAGAAAGACCAAAATTAAAGATATTCAATTGAATTTTTTAAAATTATAGGAAAAAAATATTGAATTTGAGTTTTATGGGAAGTGGAAGAGTTTATTAACATTAATATAAAAATTCAGTAATGATAATTGACACCTTAATAAATTTATGTCCCTATTATTATATTTTACAATTTTTTTAAGTTTATTATAAAAAGGAGAAAATATTACATTAATTTTTTAATTTGTAGGCTTTGGGCGAGCACCCCTTTTACCTTGGTCTAGGGCCGACTCTGGTAATGGGTTAAAAACTCATTATAAGTAAATTTCTCCTCCATCTCCCCCTAAGTAGGAAACGTAAGATTTGACTTTATCATATATCCCAATCAACAAATTAACATATAGCTTAGACGAATGCCAATTTTTTTACGAAAAAGGACGAATGTGGAACATATGAATAGTCGAGTGACTATTTTGTAACTTTTAATAGTCAGAGATTTAACAAAGCAACACCATAAAGTTGAAGGATCAAATTATAACTTTTAATAGTCAGGGAAAAAAAGTAGTAACATATAGCTTGGGGACTCTTTGTGTACTTTGCACTAAAATCAACTAACCTTTAATATTATTTTGGATAAATTGCAAGATTAATAATTTTCGTTTAAATTTAAAATAAATAAAATTTGGCCACATTCGTTTATTTTTAATTAAGATATAGTCAATGAGGGTTAATTGTCGTTAGACCTTTAACGGATTGCTAACATGACATAATGAATTTATAAAATTAAAAAGGGTAAACTACACAAATAGTCACTAATGTTTGGATAAGTTTTCATTTTCCCCACTAAAGTTTCAAAAGCATCAATTTGGCCACTAAAACATCGAATAGGTCTTTGAACAATAATTTTATATTTAATTCACCCAAAAAAATTGTCTAATTTTTCCATTTTTCTTCAATTTTTACATATATACTTTTTAATTAAAAAACTTAGAAATTAACTTTTTTTTAGGCATGTAGCAATCAATTTGAATGATAAACAAAAATTTATAACACTTTTGGATTAAATTAGATATAAAATCATTGTTCAATGACCTATTTGATGTTTTAGTGACCAAATCATCGTTTTTGAAACTTCAATGGGGGAAACAAACACTTACTCAAATATTAGTGACCATTTTATAGTTTACCTTTTATAATTTTACAAATTAATCACATCAACAAGGGATTAAAGGTCTAATGACAGTTAATTTTTAGTGATCCAATTTTAATTAAATAAAAATAATCAAATCTTAATTAATTAAATAAAAACGAAAATAATCAAATATTATATATTTCTTAATTCAGTGAAATAAAATATACAAAACTTTAATGTGAGTGATCAGTACGATTCACCCTTTTGTTTTTAACGGGGGTTCTAAATTTTGTGCGCACAAACATTTTAAAGTTTGACAGGATAGGGTTTTAGGTGGATACGTTCACCAAACCCATGAAAATGAAAATTGCATCCTCCAATTTCAAATTTCATCACCTCAGTCACTTAGGTGGCGTTTGGTTGACATGAATCCCTTAGAATTGGGAGGAATTGAAATCCAATTTCATCACTTTCCCATGTTTGGTTCAAGTTTTCCATGGCTTCAACTTTCCATTAAATGAGAGAAAGTGAATTCCATCCAAGAATGGATGGAATTCAATTCCCTTGTTGGAGGGAATTGAAATTTGGCCATACTACCTTCATCAATCTTTTGGTAACTTATTCATATATTGAATAAAAATATTTTATTATTATTTTGGGTTGGGTCGGGTCGGGTGAAACTTTATTTTGGTCGGGTCGGGTCGGTTTTTTTAAGTGTGATATTCGGGTC